GGTTTATTTGTCAGAGTCATTTTCATAGGAGTATCGGTCCTCTTCGTGGAGAAGAATGACGGTAGCATGTAATTATGTATAGATTATCGTGAGTTGAACAAGGTCACTTCCTAGATCAGGTATCTACTATTGAGGATTTATGACTTGTTCGACTAGCTGCGGGGAGCATAATATTTTTGAAGATTGATTTTCATTCTAGTTATTTTCAGTTGCGAGTGCGCGGAATGGATATTCCTAAAACCGCCTTTCTGACTCGATATGGGTCTTTCGAGTTTCTTGTCATGCCATTTGGGCTAACCAATTCACCCGTGATATTCATAGATTTAATGAACCAGGTTTTTCATCTATGTTTTGTGGTTGTTTTATCGATGACATCCTTATCTTTTTTAGGTCGGAGGTAGAGAACGAGCAACATCTTCGTTTGATATTGCAAACTTTGTGGGAGTATCAGTTATACGCTAAGTTTAGCAAATGCTAGTTTTGGCTATCTGAGGTCAGATTTTTGACCATGTTATCTACAAGGAGGGCATAGCAGCAGATCCAGGTATTGTTGATGTTGTACTTGATTGGGAGCCGTCAAGAACCATTATAGAGATTCATTGTTTTGACAGGGTATGAGAGAAAGTTCATTCAGGACATTTTGAAGATTGTGATACACTTACACGCCTTACGAAGAAGGGTGTAGGGTAAAATTTGATTTCCCAAAATGGGGATTTTGTTTGTATTGATAAGATTGACTTATTATAAACTAAGAATCAAAATTACAACAGAAGTGGAGGGAAGACCCTCCTTGTTTAACGTGAGGTCTTTGGTAGCGATAGGACGCCTCGCTCAGTTCTTGCACCGAGTTTGTTTCCCTTGGACGATTCGATCGAGGTTGCAGATGAGCTTCAGTACGTAGTAGAAGCTCGTGTTGATCGAGTTCGAGTTCTCGAGCTTAATGGCTATCAAGACCGAAAGCTGGAAGAAGATGCTACAGTGCAAGAACAATGCAAAGAGCCAGGCTCGATTCTTTTAGAACTTAAGAGAACTGATTACCAAGGAGCCAAATAGGTTCGGTCTTGATCAAGAGTTCAAGACCTCTCTTTTGATAGCCATCATTGGCTATTTATAATGGAGGAGAAGCATGGCTACTCCCTCAAATTGTGGGATTGTAGTTGAGGGGGACCATAACTCCATCCCTTAAATCTTGGGATGTGACCATCAGAGGTGAGGTGAACCATACTCCATCCCATAGAGCATGGGGAGTGGGTGTACCCACTCCCACGTTTTAAGCTCAAGTGGCTGACTTGTCCAGCTGTGCAGGCGAGCTTAACGTTGCAGGCGAGCTTGGCCTGTTAGGCGAGCTGGTGAGCTTTCAGGCGAGCATGTGAGTCTAGAGGCGAGCTCGTTTGTGCAGGCGGGCTTGGCGGGCTTTGGCATGCAAGCGAGCCTGGGTGCTACAGGCAAGCTTAGCCTTCAGGCGAGGTTGTGCAGGCGAGCTTGCCTTCTTCAAGCTGTTAGGCGAGGCTGTACATGCGAGCTTGCCTCATGCAAGTGAGGATGTGTAGGCGAGTGAAGGGCAAGCCTGGATCATGTAGTCTATCTTCAAGCTGTCAGGCGAGCTCTGTAGATGAGGCTGTGCAGGCGAGCTAGCCTTCAGACGAGCCTGGATCATGCAGGCAAGCTTCAAGATGTCAGGCGAGCTCCACTAGTGAGGCTGTGTAGGCGAGCTTACCTTATGCAGGAGAGCTTCAAGCCTTCAGGTGAACTAAGCTCCTTTGAAGGCGATCTCCAGAACATGTCACGAACAGGTCATAATTTTTAAACCGTAAGCCGGAATTGGACGAATTATATATAAAAATTGACTATCTCGACGAGACGGAGCCGACCAAACCTACCCCATAGGGTTCGATTTGCTTATGTCCGTTTATCCAAATTCCTTCAGGTTTGAGAGATACCAGTGTTTTCTCCTTTTTTGCTATTTTGGACGAGGTTTTAGCAGTCTTATTCTGAACTTCTCTGATAGGGATTAAAGGCAATTTTTATTTCCTACAAAGGGTGTATAGTTTGTTTTGGGCACGGGGTGTCAGGAAGCCTTTGAGAATATAAAGGCTAAATAGACTATATTAACAATATTGACTTTTTCGAGCAGTGATACGACATTTATCGTTTTCGTAGACACGTCATTAGCAGGTCTAGGAGATGTTTTGATGTAGACTCGGAGGGTATGGTTTATATTTCGCTAAAGTTGAGGCACATCGTACCAGATATACAGTGCATCCACGTACAAGGAAAATGCACAAAGATGAAGAGACACTTCTGGAGGAGCTTCCAGAATTTGTTTTGTAGCTAGTTATGATATTCTAGTGTTTTTCACCCGCAGACAGATGGACAAACGGAGAGAATAAACCAAGTGTCCGAAAAACATGTAGCGGACATATATTATAGATTTGCAGGATAGCTGGGAGGATTATATCCCATTGATTGAGTTTGCTTATTGTAGGGTCCTCTTGTTTATATATACCAAGTGTAGGATCGTGACCCTTAAGAATAGAATGCATTCTTATAAAAATCTACGGAAACTTTACACTTAAACACTAGAGGGTGAGTTTGCAAAGTAGATTATAAATTGTAAAAAAAGATATAGCAATCTCAGAAAGTGAACATTATAAACACAAGAATGTATACTGGTTCCACCTCCCCGATGTACATCCAGTCCCCAACAAATCCCGCTTGAGAGTTCTACTATGATTTTGAAACCTTACAAAATCAAAAGAAAACTTGACCAATTTGCAAGACCATGCAAATTACAAACCCAATTGACAACACCATGCCAATTGTAAACCGACCTCTAGACTAAGAGATTAACCCCTCTCAAAAACTGAGAGAAATTTTCTTTGAAGCAAGTACAAATCTAATCCTATAAGCCTTGAATGTGTTGTGAACGTGTTTCTCACTGTGGCTATAGGTTTTTCTCTCTAAAATTTGCCTAAACACTTAGTATGAAATGATCAAAGGACATAGGCTATTTCAGAACTTTTATTCTAAGGCAAAATTTGAATTTTAGAACACTTAGAATGCACAAAATGTTTAATCTTTTGAATGCAACACCCTCCATTATTTTCTGACGTTTTTCATATTTATAGCCCCTGAAAAGACATATTTTTAAACCCAAATAATACCTTAAAATGGCTATAAATAGTCATATATTCAAAACCAGTAACAGTCAGAAAACTATCTTAGTAGTCGGCTGCAAGTCTTAGTAGTCGACTACTCTAAGTTCAGACAAACTCTGTGTAGTCAATATTTTTCTTAGTAGTCAACTACTTTGTCTATTAGTCGACTACTTTGTAAAAATAGAAAGTCTGGAATTCAAATTCAACTCTTATTAGTCGACTATAATGCCTAGTAGTCGACTAGTCTGTAATGACACGAAAACTGATATTCTGTCTGTGTCTGTTATAGTCGACTACTCATGCTATTAGTCGACTATTAAGAGTAGATATGAGCTATATGATATGTTTTAAGTCTCGCTCAATATCTATTAATTCTAATGGTTACTATAGGGGATTTTTATTATTAACCAACACACTAAGCATGTGTTAGTATGTTCTAACACTATGTGTGTGCATGTGTGTGAGTGATCAAGGCTTGTATACATTTCTAAGCAAAGAAAATATAAATTACCTTTTGACAATGAAGTATATCTTCTTCTTTGCTTTATTTTGCCTTGAACTCATCTATGTCTTGAGTATCTCTTTGAATATAATTGTTGATTTAGCTCTGGTACTGCAAAATAAATGTTAACATATAATACACACAATATATAATATTTGTTATCATCAAAACAAACTAATCTTGGGGTCAAGATTCCTAACATTCTCCCCCTTTTTGATGATGACAAATATATGTTATTAAGATATAAAAATTTTAATCTCCCTGCATGAAATCATTAGATAAAATCTTTTACCCCCCCTGCATCAAAGCATTAGTAAAAAAATTTAAAATTTTCTACATAACTCCCCCTTTGTCATTAGGAAAAAAAATAAACATAATTCTAGTTAAATTCCTTTTTCTTTTCCTTGGTACCTAAATAAAAACATTAAGCACTTTGGTATCCATTTTATATTATATCATTAGGATTAGCCCTTAGAAATTCAAATCCACTTGGAATTTTGTTTCCATTTATTAACATAATTATAATTCTTTGAATTTCATATATTTTTCTTAAAACTTAATATATAATCATCTCTTTCATTTAAACAAGTATCTTTAGGTACCCAAATGTACATAGATTTCTTATACAAAGATACTTTATGATATGATGCAAAATGTGTTCTATTAACATATTCATTTTTTTGTGAACATATCCTAATACAAATTTTTGATTAAAAGACTTTTGAAAAGATAATAAATTAGTCAAGTCTTCTTTTCCTTTGTTGAATTTGTTCACATTAAAAAATAACTCTTCATATTTGAGTTTAAGAGAACACATTTCTTTATCTAAATCTGAAATACGAGTTATTAATTTATCACATTTAGATTTTAGATAAATATTATCATTAGTCAATAATTTATTTTTAGAAAATAAATTATTATTTAGTTCGTTCAATTTTTCAACTTGTGAAGAATTTAAAGTTACTAATTCTAAGTTTAATTTTTATTTTTAGTTTTCAATAACTTATAATTAGACTTCAAATCCTTATATTTAACATAAAGTTCATTGAATACTTCTAATAATTCATCATTATTAAAATTATCGTATACCTCATCTTCTTGTGCCATAAAACATAAGTGAGCGGATTCCTCTTTTTGTTCTCCTTCTTCTTTGGAAGAAGATGAGTCACTATCATCCCATGTCATTACCAAAGCCTTCTTCTTTTTATCTTTTAACTTCTTGAAGTTTGTAGACTTTAACTTTGACTTTAGAAGAGGACAATCCTTCTTCATGTGTCCTAGCTTATTGTAACCATAACAAATAAAATTATTATTAGTATCTTTGACCTTTTTATACTTACTTTGGATAAGAAACTTTTTGAATTTTCTTGAGAGAGCATCAATATCTTCATCATCTTCATCCGATTCATTATTGTCGTAAGATGCATTTAAAGTAATGATTTTCTTCTCTAGTTGTTCTCTGTCCCTTCTATCTTTAAGTTGCACTTCATATGCCATTAAATTCCTAATAAGATCTTCTAAGGTAAGTGTTGAGAGATTATTGGCTTCTTCAATTGCTATTTTCTTTTTCTCCCATTCCGGTGTTAGTGCACGAAGAACTTTTCTCACCATTTCTAATTGTGTGTACCCTTTTCCAAGACCAATTAGAGAGTTGGTGATGTCGGTGAATCTTGTGATCATTTCAGTGATCGTCTCATGTTCTTTCATTTTGAATAACTCAAACCTATGCACAAGAATAGAGATTTTAGATTCTTTAACTTTGTTTGCACCTTCATGTGTTACCTCAAATGTATGACAAATTTGATGGGCTAAATTGCAAGTAGACACGCGATTGAACTCATTTTTGTCCAAGGCACAAAATAGTGCATTCATCGCTCTTGAGTCCAGATTGACGTTTGTTCTTTGTACTACTGTCCATTCGATGTATGGAGTTGTTGGCTTTGTGAAATCAAATTCTACAATGTTCCATAAGTCATAACCAAGAGATTAGAGGTAGATCTTTATCCGACACTTATAATAGTTGTAGTTTGTGTTGTCGAAGAGAGGTGGTTGTTGTGTGGAATGTCCCTCTTTAAATTGTAAAGTATTTGATGTACTTGATGATGCCATCTTTCACCTTGCTCTGATATCAATTGTAGGGTCCTCTTGCTTATATATACCAAGTGTAGGATTGTGATCCTTAAGAATAGAGTGCGTTCTTATAAAAATCTACGGAAACTTTACACATAAACGCTAGAGGGTGAGTTTGTAAAGTAGATTATAAATTGCAAAGAAAGAATGACAATCTCAGAAAGTGAACATCACAAACACAAGCATGTATACTAGTTTCACATCCCCGGTGTACATCCAGTCCCCAAGCAAATCCCACTTGAGAGTTCCACTATGATTTTGAAACATTACAAAATCAAAAGCAAACCTGACCAATTTTCAAGACCATGCAAATTGTAAATCTTATTGACAACACCATGCTAATTGTAAACCTACCTCTAGACCAAGAGATCAACCCCTCTCACAAACCGAGAGAAACTTTCTTTGAAGCAAGTACAAATCCAATCCTATAAGCCTTGAATGTGTTGTGAACATGTTTTTCACTGCGGCTATAGGTTTTTCTCTCTAAAATTTGCCTAAACACTTAGTATGAAATGATCAAAGGTCATAGGCTATTTCAGAACTTTTATTCTAAGGCAAAATATGAATTTTAGAACACTTAGAATGCACAGAATATTTAATCTTTTGAGTGCAACACCCTCCATTGTTTTCTGACGTTTTCTCTATTTATAGCCTCTGAAAAGACATATTTTTAAACCCAAATAACACCTTAAAACGAATATAAACAGTCATATATTTAAAACCTGTAACAGTTAGAAAACTGTCTTAGTAGTCGACTACAAATCTTAGTAGTTGACTACTCTGAGTTTAGACAAACTCTGTGTAGTCAGTATTTTTCTTAGTAGTCGACTAATTTGTCTATTAGTCGACTACTATGTAAAAACAGAAAGTCTAAAATTCAAATTCAACTCTTATTAGTCAACTATAATGCCTAGTAGTCGACTAGTCTGTAATGACACAAAAACTGATATTCTGTCTGTGTCTGTTGTAGTCGACTACTCATGCAATTAGTCGACTATTAAGGGGTAGATATGATCTATATGATATATTTTAAGTCTTAATTAATATCTATTAATTCTAATGGTTAACATAGGGAACTTTTATTATTAACCAACACACTAAGCATGTGTTAGTGTGTTCTAACACTATGTGTGTGCATGTGTGTGAGTGATCAAGGGTTGTACACATTTCTAAGCAAAGAGAATATAAAATTATATTTTGACAATAAAGTATATCTTCTTCTTTGCTTCATTTTTCCTTGAACTCATCTAAATCTTGAGTATCTCTTTGAATATAATTGTTGATTTAGCTTTGATACTGCAAAACAAATGTTAGCACATAATACACACAACATATAATATTTATTATCATCAAAACAAACTAATCTTGGGGTTAATATTCCTAACACTTATAATATCATTTATCATAGATTATTGGAATGGCGTCATATGAGGCATGGTACAGGAGGCCTTGTAGATCACCTATTTGTTGGACATAATCACATGATAGTTTATTGCTTACACAAGAGCTTGTGAGGCAGACTACAAGGAAGGTACTAGAGATCCGGGAGCGAATTCTTGTAGCGCATAGTCTTCAAAAGTGTTATGCAGACTAGAGACAACGACTGTTAGAGCTCTAGATTGGGGACTACATCTTATTAAAAATATTACCGATGAGTTCAACGACTTGGTAGACGGGAAAAGTTTAACCCGAGGTATATTGGTCTGTTCATGAGAGTTTAACATTTTGGAGCCTTTTCGCATCGGCTAGAACTTCTAGCATCAATATCGAGTATACACGATGTTTTTCGTGTTATGATGATTAAGAAGAAATTGTGCCACATGGAGCAGTAGAGGGTGATTGATGCACCGAAATTTGAGTTTCAAATAGATTTAACTACCATGGAGATCACGGGTTGTATTCTTACTAGAGAGGACGAGAGGCTTAGAAAGGAAGTAATACCTTAAGTTAGAGTTTAATAGAAATGGAAAAGATCTAAGGAGGCTTTTTGGGAGCGCGATGAGGATATGCGTCGCGACTACCTGCACGTGTTCAAGCGGGTAAATTGATTTGGTTATAGCTTATTGATGTTTATGATTTTTGATTCTTATATATGGTCATATTTATACTTAACGCTAGAATGGAGGTATTAACACTTAGCTCCTAATCATTTGGAACACATGGTATATATATTTTGGGGGTTCCTTATTTGAATATTTTGCCCGACGTACTAGTTCTGTTTAGTTAGGAGTTAAGTGGGAGTATTCGTATTTTAGATTGTTAAGCGTAGATATTGCTAGTGATTTATATCTAGGGATTAATGACACGAGATGGGTACGAGAGGGTTTCCTTGTATGGATTATCCCCTCTTTGTGCTTTTCTCATATTATTAATCCCTAAGATACGATTGTGAAATTTCGGGGACGAAATTCTTTTAATGAGTGAATTATGTAAAACCCCGTCAATTTGAATATTATATGATAAATAATAATACACATATTATATGGTTAAAAATAATATATTTTGATGTTTGAGTATGATAAGAATTGATTTGAGATCATTCAATGTATATTTGTGAATATATGAGTGCAATTGCACAAAACATGCACGAAGAGAAATCTAAAAAAACGACCATTTAAGAGTATATGTGTTTTACACACTGATGCACTTCGATTCTAGAAAAACTCAAAATATTACAGTTGTCTTCAAAAGCTTTCCAAAAAATCGTAGATCAACTCATTCTGATGTCGGATAAGAAAGTTATAGCCAAAATACCAAAGGTGATTTTCCTAGGCAGACTAGGTTTCCTGGTTCGGGTTAAACGGGTTTTGTTTCCGGTTTGCCTCTATAAATACCTATATTTTTTACAAAAATTCTTCTCTTTAATGATATCTCTGAACCCTAGCAGCCACCCTATCCCCTAAAAAACTCTAGATCAATTTGTTATGAGTTTTGTGAGTTTTGTGAAGCAAAAATACCGACACGAGGGTGAAATCATCGACGTGTGGTAAGGGAGAACAGTTTGTTTGCACCTTTGGATCAATTGTTGTTCATTTCAGAGACTTGCATACGAGATTAAGGCAAGATCACCTATGTCCAAATCTATCCCTAGATTAAAAATCATGTTTTTATGTAATATATGGGTCTAATTTCATGTTTAGGGTAAGATCTAACTTATTAGAACTTAATTTATAATGTTCATGCCCTAAACTCAAGTCAAGAATAGTAGAACGAATATGAAACTAGTATATTAATATGATCATGATCATTAAGATTTATTTTAATGAGTTAATTATAGTTTAATATGATCTATATTCTTTAGATTGTCGAAATAAATAAGAATTAGGTTGATTTGCATGTTAAACCCTAGATCTATGTGTTCATGTGATTTATATTGTTTAAAGAAACTCCTGGTTAAATATACATGACAATGGAATCAAGTTTTATTTATATAATGAGATAAAAACCCAAGTTTTTGAAGAAAACACGAGAGAAGAACAAACTGTGCATTTTCAGCATGTTCAGTCGACTGAAGTTGCCATCAGTCGACTGACGGGAGGTCATCAGTCGACTGATGGTAAGCATCAGTCGACTGATGGGCTCATGTTTACCCTGTTGTTTTGTGAATGACCCTATCAGTCGACTGATGAGGATGTTGGTCGACTGATCAAGTTTGTTTTTGTGAGATTGAACCTTATACTTGTGGTTCATTTGGTAAGCATTTTTGTGAAAGACGTGAGCTGATATTCATGCATAGTTTGAGGAGTACACGTACGGGGATTGAGTATGCATGATTACATTGTTTGGGGTATCCAAATAGGTTACAATCGTTAAGAGTAACGGCTAGTATTATATATATTATAATTATGATCGGTTGGGTGGGGTTAGTCAGGTCTCGTAAAAAGACCCCGGATGGACTATACTCCGAGTGCTTTAGTCAGGTTCTGCAATGAGATTGCAGATGGACTATACTTCTTTATCGATCTGCATGGAGATGCGCAGAGGTTGATATACCTATCTATCGGTCCACATGGAGATACGCAGAGGTTGAAATACCTATCTATCGGTCCGCACGAAGATGCGCAGAGGTTGATATAGCTAACTATCGGTCCACATGATTATGCAATGAGTTATTATACTTAGTTACCAGTCCGTACGGGAGTGCGATGAATTGACATACCTAGTTATTGGTCCGCACGGGAGTACAATGAACTGACATATCTATTTACCGGTCCGCACGGGGTGCGATGCGTTAAAGTATTCCAAAGAAGGACGATTCGATAAATAACATAAGTGTAGGTGAATATTGACATCATCAATATGATCTATTGTGAAAGTATTTCACAACTTAGATACACGAGTGTGTCGATAACTATTTTACCCACTAAGGGTAGTATGAGGAGTTGATATGACATTTTTGGAGATGTATGATGTGGTATTTACTGTATTATCTTTCTTGTATTCATATATTCTTAGCTTTGGAGTTAATATTTAGTGATTCATAATTTGAGACATATGGTATATACATGAGGGTTTCCTTATTTAGATTATTTCGTTTGACAGACTAGTCTCGTGTTGTAAGTTTCTAATTATTGATT